CCATGTGATTGGCTGATTAGATATTTGTGTAAAACAAGCAGTTTAAGAGTGTAAGAAGCGAAGTTACCACTGAGTGTAGACACTCGTAGTAACACTTTAACTTACATCCTATAGTTAGAACACATCAGCTGTGGTGATCATTACCATTTTTTATTTTTTTAACATGCACCGCTGAAAAAATAAAAAATGTGTCTAATGGTTTTCATCTGATGTCACACATAGCTGACGTGTTCCAATTACAAAACTCAAGTTGCAGTATTACTTCAATGAGAAGTTTCATGTTGGTTTATTTTTATTGAATGACAGACAACTACACTCATCAGCCACTTCACCATATAAAAGGAAGTGTGTATATGTGTGGGAGTGAATGCAACAAACCATCTGTTCTAGACGTGACGTTTGTACCCACAATAATTGGTAGAGCATTACATAATTCTTTGCAGGAAATGTTCGGGGGAATTTCAAACCATATCATCTCTGACTGGTAATGAGGTCACACTGAAGTCACTGTTAAGTGATTACTTATTCAGACAATTACACTAACTCCAGGTTGAAATCCTCATGGAAACTTTTATTGGAATGATGTGGAGCGTTTACTTGGAAAGGGCCGTAACTGCCAGTCGCCAAACATTGACTGCTTAATTCAAGATAAATTAATGGGTTACAACAAAGGGGTTTCCACATTCTGAATGTTACTTTAAAGCAGAAATGTTTTTTTTGTAGCAGAACACAGGAATATTTAAAGGGTGCACCCAGTGATAACAAGCAGCCAACGCCCCTGTTCATGGTTTTGTTGCCTCAGAGGTTTTGAGCCGGAGGAAAAGAAAAATCACCAGAATTACAGAATTATAATCATTTCTTGTCTTCTTAAAAAAAAAAAACCCATGTTATTAGCTCATTGTACCTCTGTACATAGTCATCCCCACAGCCATTCTGAGCCAAAACAAACCCTGCTTTTTTTTTTTTTTTTTTTTTTTTTTTTTTTCTCTCCATGGTAATGATGTCACAATGCTAATGCCAGTAATACTATTTCTTTTATAAATGGTAATGATTGTTTAACAGTGCTAACAAATTGCCTCACAGCAAGAAGGTCCTGGGTTCAAATCCATCATCTGACTGGGGCTTTTCTGTGTGGACTTTGTGTGTTTTCCCCGTTTCTGCACGGGTTCTCTCTGGGTACTCCGGCTTCTCTCCTCAGTCCAAAGAAATTAAGTTAGTGGGGTTAGGTTTATTGGTGATTCTAAAATGGCCAGGTTGTACCCCGCCTCTCACCCTATGATATCTGATTTATTATAATACATAGTAAATCTGCAGTATTGCAGTTAGTTTACATTTTTCCAAGTACGTCTCGACACATTTATGTCTGTATGTACAACAAAGTACTAGCCATTGTAATGATTCCTACTATGGAAATTTACAGTGACTAAGCTGTAAGACATCTGCAAATGCACAACAGTCAAATTAAAAATCATGTTTTTTTTTTGTTTTTTTTTCAATTTTATTTTTGGGTTCGTTTTTTTTGTGTGCAAAATTCCCACTGTAGAGAATTGAACTTGCTCTCGTGTAAATCTCTAGATTTTTATCTTTAAAATCAAGTGCTTGATATGATATTACACATCCGCTTTCACTGTGTGATAATGTGCTTGGGGTCCCAGCCACTATCATTTGTAAGAAGTAAATAAGTCCCTCTGTTGACAGTTTCCTGCCAGCTGGGCCAACAGATAACATCAGCAGCCATTACATTCACTGGGCCAAGGATGCTGCGCGTTTACCTCAGGAATCGACCTCATTTAGACACTGCTAAAGGTTACTGAGTATCTGTCAGTATAATTGGTCCTCAGTGGCTGCATAGATGCGTGCAACGCCACATTCATTCATTTTGAATTGCCAGTCTTCCAGCCAAGCATACAGTTTAATCCTCTTCCTGTTTGCTCAGTTCTGAAACTCTTTCACTGTTTTTTTTTTTTTTTTTTCCTCCACATACTATCCAACTCATTTTTTTTTTAAAGTACTACGCAATCCTCTGTGGAATAAGTGAAGGGCACTCTGCAGCTAGTTATTTGGGATACAGTTTTTGAGTGGTAGTATCTTGGAGACGACACTGATTCATAGCAGACTTTGTGGAACGGGAGGTAAAAACAAATGTGCTGTTTTTGATGGTGATAGCTGATGTGACAGTGCTGATTTGAATGATTGAATATGTTCAAAATACCAGCATGTGTGCTTTGTTTTTACCTCTGCACAGCCAAATGGATAATGGGACTGTTTACCCAGGATATGTTCTGCAGAAATGATCAAAAATAAGCAGGAGTGTGGTGGAGAACTATTCATAATCAGATTTTGTGTAACAACAGAACATGTAAAACAGTTGTCAACAAGATTTGTATATAAATGAGAAAATTATAAAAAATATTTTTAGCCTAATATCAACCCAGCGGATTTTGTGCAAATTAAGCAGCTTGTGGATTAGAACATCCACTTGTTCTCTTGTTTGCATTAATTTGGATAAGAAAAAATTGAAATTTGTTCTTATTTGGTAGAAGAAGCCTGTTATGATTAGCTTCAAGGTCAGTAATGTTATCAACTTGTATCCACATACTTTTGTAATGAGCCTCAGGATTGGGTGTTATTGTGCAAGCAGTGTCCTCATTCACAAGGGCCTTTATCAGTCAGACAGTCTACAACAGAAGCGAGAGATCTCCTATTTTGGAATGACAATTGAAGTACTGCAGGGATTACTGTACTGCAAACAGAGCCGCAATGGCCAGTTTATTCTGTAATAGGACCAAAATGTGTCTGAATATTGGGAAACAGTCTTACAGTTACTCAGCCCCTTCTTCTGCTTTGGTTAATGGGAGAATATCTGTTCATTTGAGTTTAATTAAAGGAGCCTCGGGTGGGGAAAAAGTTGAACCAATCGATGTTGGTCTACAGTGGGTTGAAAGTATGCCAGCGTCGTACTGATTTTTGATATTTCCAATGAAGTAAAAAGTTTGACAAGCTTTTGCTGGCATAGAAGAAAATCGCTCGCAGGAGGTTCATCTATATTTATGTTCTTTCAGTTTCACAGTTCGCTCTCTTTTGAGACATTTGAAACTGTTTATAAAGCACCCAAGATGATTGTATATCTGTTCTACTAATGTGTTTCTGGAAAAAATGAATAAAAGTAAAACGCGGTGATTTGCAAATCATTGTAACCCCTTTGAAAACAGTTGTACTAATGCACCAATGGAGACAAGACAATTGAGAATTTTTTCTTTTTTTTTTTTTTTGTCCCAAAACAATCTGCAGAAAATAGAGAGGCCTCTTTAGGAAATCCAAAATGTTCCCTTAGTGTTTGGCTCCTCATTATGTGTGTAAGGGAAATAGATACTTGTGCTCAAACACACATATGCTTAAGTGAAATGAAAGAGAATTTGGTGTTCAGTGAGCATTGGGAAACTGAGCAGATTCTGTAGTACACCAAAGCACCATAGATCTTTTTCAGATCAGAGTTAGATTACAGATGATATTAAAAAGATCTTAATTTCTACTTGGAGCTGAACCACGTAGATGGTTTGGCCGTTTTAAAGACATGGAGAAATTTGTGACATAACCATGAATCATGTTAGCGATCCACAGTGTTTGTTCCACTTACATTAAAGATTACACTCAAAACGCTCAACAACTCTGTTACACCTATTGTTGTGGTTTTCCCAGTTAATCCACAAACCAAGAAAAGGTAATTTCATGAAAACTGCTCACAGCGAGTTCTGTGTGAAGCGATCAATACCCACTCTTCTTTCTCTCACACGCACACACACTTACTAAAACATGCACCGTACAAAACTCTGTATCACCATGGTGATTCAGAATGTGGTCTGAAAGGGAGAAGTGGTGCATTATTATGGACCCACCAGTAGACGAGCACATACTGAAGCAAGCTGGTCCTTGTTAAACTTGTGAATAGTGCTGTAAAGCAATTACTGCCACATTGTGTTTGACTGACTAAATGAGCTGCCCATCCTTACTGTGGCATCCTGTGAGGTTTTTTTTTCCCCCCTGCTGTATTACTTTAATCTCCATCCTTAAGGTACTTAAGTGGCTCTAGTTATCTAATAGATATTTTGTTAACCTAATAATGTCTAGTAGAGTACTTTTGCATGATCCACATTTCAAAAAAAATGTTTACTTGCCTTGCACTGCAACTTGGTCCAGCACCCAAGTTCATTCATTTTGCCAAACAATCTAACTTTACCTAACTTTGTCCTGATTGCCTGCCACTATCAATGAGCCAGAGCTCTGCGGTGGACATGGCCATATTAATCCTGCTGATCTATAACATAATGAGTATACAAGAGAAGGAAAAAAACTGTCTGAAGTAAGAGGAGTTTACTTTAGAGCAGGCTGAAGCTTAAGCTTTTTTTAAAATGTTTTTAATATTTGTCGTGTTAATATTGGGCATCCACAATTGCATAAAGAGAAAGGGGGGAAAAAAAATATTTTAAAGATATTTTTAAATATAGCATTTTTTAAAGACTTTTGCTGTTGAATACCCTGGTAGTTTTAGAACACATTGAAAAGTCTAAGCTAAGAAGCTCCAATTTTGGAAAAAGGGTTTTGCTGGTTAATGTACTCTAAAGAGCCTGAGGAGACTTCATTCTCAACTTTACAGGCTGTGAGATACTCCCTATGACTAGATAGCAGACTGGGCTTGATGTGTAAAATTACTAGGCTCTCACGTAGCTGTTAATTAAATAACAGGGGATCTAATCTTTGACACTGCAGTAAAAATGGATAGACTCTAAACCCTAGAGTATATTCTGTATGCTGTATATGAGGATCTCAAAATTTCACAAAAATACCATAGTTTCCTATTTCTTTACTACTGCAGTAGAGTATCTGAAAGAAATGTAATACTAAAGAGTATGTAGCACTGAATGTAATTTGCCTTGTAATCTGACTTGTCTTCGGTTTCCTTTTGTCTTTGCTTTGTTTTCTCTCACTACTGTTCTTCTCAGTTGCCGAGTTCCAGATAGAAAGAGTCCCCTGTCACCTGATTCCTAAGCAGACTGCTTGTAAGAGTCTTCAACAATAAAAGTTGGCCATCAACTAATTTCTCTTCATCAAGACTCACTACTGTAGAGGTACAAAATACCCCCCCCCCCCTTTTTTTTTTTTTTAAATGCTTAAAATCATTAGCGCCATTTATCCTTCTAGATTGTCTTCGTGTAAGCTGACCATTGGGCATATCGTCTCCAGACATGACAGGCTTTTCATGAATGTAATGGTGTCCAAAATCCCCCCAAAGAGATGGACTCTCTGGGTTCCTACAATGATTTTATGTAGTTCTCTGTTTGGGACCATTTTTATTTATTTATTTTTTTGGGTTATGTTTTCAGTAATCCAATGCTGCTGTAAGGCAATTCTCATTTAGTTCCATTGTATGCACCTTGTATAAAATATAAATTAGATTTTTTTGGTGAACTTTCTCTTAATGTCCCAAGTATTGCGATGCAACTATTGATAAGTGTTGAATTTAATATGTATATTGCAATTTTTAATTAAACCTTTTGAAGGCTCAGTGTTTGACCTGTAAAATTCAAACTCAGCCATTTTTCCATTGGTTCTTAAGCTTTAACAACTATGATAACTATACTACTATAGTTATTAAATATTGGTCTACAATAACTATTATATTACTAAAGAAAATATTGAATTTTTCCTGTTTACTTTTCCTTTTCTGTTTCCACAGCACTAAATGTCCCTTAGCCTCTTGAATCACTTCACTCAGTGGCCGTTATGTTGACCCGAATCTAATCTCATTAGCACCCCATCCTTACCTTTCCCTCCCATCTCCCCTCCCAACACCATTTCCCGACTCCGTCATGACCAGTTTGAAGCGCTCTCAAACAGAGCGCTCAGTTGGGGGCTCGGTGTCGGCTACCGATGAGTTCTACACTCGTCGTCTGCGACTGCCTAATGGAGGGGCACCACCACCTCGCAGTGAGAGCGCCCACATCTCCTCTTCTTCAACCACGGGCACCAACCCTGGTGTCCCAAAGATGGGGGTTCGGGCTCGTGTAGCTGACTGGCCACCAAGAAAAGATGGGGGAGGAGGGGGTGTTTGGCACATCACTGTGGAAACAGACTCACCCAGCTCTACCAACACCACTAGCTCTTCAGGGTCAGGAAGTGGAGATAGAGAAAGACTTGAAAGAGGGGGAGGAGGTGGTGGAGGAGGTAGTGGCGGGAGTGGTGGGAGTGGAGGAGGGGGGGTGTCAGCCGTCACAGCCCATAGCAATCTGTCAGCCAAGCTGGGTCACCTGATAAGCCCACAGGACTCATCCATGCTGCGCAACATCCACAACACACTAAAGAGCAAGATGCAAAGCAAGGGAAAGGACAATCGCTTCCTGTCACCGGATGGCTATCTGGGTTCCCCTCGCAAGGGCATGAGACGCATCCGCCAACGCAGTAACAGTGATATAACTATCAGTGAGCTCGACGGGGATGGAAACGAGGGCTGGTCGTTCTCCGGGTGGACACCCATGCACCGGGAATATGGCAGCACTTCATCTATAGACAAGCATGGTGTGTCAGGAGAGAGCTTCTTTGATATGCTAAAGGGATACCAGTCCGCTGAGGCCCCGGATCAGCGAAGCCCAGCTCCAGAAAGGCTAACAGAACTCCTTACTGTTGCTCCCATAAAACAGGCTGCTCTGGATCTGCCAGATGGACCTTTAGGTCCAGCCAGAGGTAGTCCTGCCAGTCGGCTGAAGGAACGAGAGAAGCATTTGAAGAGAAGGTCAAAGTCAGAAACAGGTGGAGAGTCGATCTTCCGTAAGCTGCGCAGTGTAAAGGTGGAGGGTGACACATCAAGGGCTGGCTCGGATGCTGAAGATGGTGGGAAAGGGGATGAGAGTGGACCACCTCCCAAACCCTGGGCGTGCCAAAAGGGATTTGCCCATTTTGATGTTCAGTCTCTACTCTTTGACCTCAATGAGGCGATTCAAAGTCGGCAATCTGGAGCCAAACGCAAAAACACCACTACTGGTGCCTCCGCTGCAGCTGCCGCCTCTGCTTCGGCCTCGTCCTCTCTTTCGTCTAATCAGAGTGGAGTGTATGGGTCACCTTGTGGCTCCCAAGAAGAGCTAAGCAAGGAGGGGACAGGAGGCGGTACCAACCCTGCCTTGGACCCTGGCGATGATAAGAGCAATGATTTGGTTCTCAGCTGCCCTTGTTTCAGGAATGAGATTGGTGGAGAGGGGGAAAGGAACATTTCTCCTGTTAAACAGGTAGGTCTGCTTGAGTAGTCATTATATTTTCTTAGATATATGCAAATATTGCAATGCATTTTAATATATAAAACGGTTTCTCGGGTTCTGCTGTTTTAATATTGATGCTGCAGTCTGCAGATGTGCATTTTGAAAATGCACTGAAAAGCGCTCAGATTTCTGCATATTTAAGATGTAAAGATAAAAATATGATGATGTGGTTTACAGCTTGCTGGCTTTACCTTTCCTTTTTATTAATCTTCCAGCAGGGAAGCATAGGAAGCGGTGGGAGCTCAAGCAATTCCTCTGGCAGTACAGAAGAAGGCCCTTTGGATGCCACCCTCACTACCCATTTTACCAATGCAGGTGTGGCTGTGTTGGAGGCTTCCAAGGACGGGCCTAGTCAACATGCCGACAGGTCCAAACGATACATTGTGGAACATGTTGACCTTGGTGCCTATTACTACCGAAAGTACTTTTATCTCAGAGGTGAGAAAATTGGATAGTTTGGGCTTTTTTGATTTGTAGTTCTTAAACTTTAGTGGGTGCTTTTCAATTTGTCTTACTGAACGTTTCTAGTCTTAGAGCAAATGCTGTGGACTGTATTGGCAGAAAAAATACAATTTGTAGTGTTTTAGACACTAATTAGACAAGGTGCAGAAGTTGTACTTCATTCTGCATTACACGTGAGAAAACCTGGGAACCAGCGAAGAGTCATTAGTAAAGGTGCGAATGTTCTGTAAAGTTTTAATAGTTGATATAACTCAGCTGCAATACACATAGTGGAATAATTGCTCAGGTTTTCTTCCTTTCTGTAGTTTTATCTCTCCTGTCCTCTGTCATCAATTTATGTCTGCATCTGAAATCCCAATACTTTTCACCCCTAGAGCACTGGAATTACCTGGGGGTAGATGAGAATCTGGGCCCTGTGGCGGTGAGTCTGAGAAGGGAGAAGCTGGAGGAACACAAAGACCATGGACAGCAGTACAACTACAGGGTCATTTTCAGAACGAGTGAGGTAACATACATTCTGACAAATAGTGTGCCATCTGTCTGACGTGTTCACGATTTTGTTATATAATTATTATTTTTTAATAATGTTTTCATTCACCAGGGTAAGCTTGTAGCTTTTCTAGCCATTCCCACTGTGAAAGTTCATGTGAATATATCTGTCAGTATTTAGTATGCTCTCCTGAGTGATCTTCCTGAAATGCTTTTATGAGTTCAAACTGTGTAGGAGTTGACATATAAGAACTGCTCCCTGCTTATTGATGAAGCCATTTGGGGGGAGACATTATAAAAGCTTCAGCTCAAGGCTGTTGCATACAGCTCAGGATGCTACCGCCTCCGCTCCTTGATACCACCTTAAATTACTGCCCATTTGATCTTTATAGTTTCCTCCCATTTGTTTAGTCCAAATTCTCAACTTTTTTGTGAATCCCTCTAGCCCTTGTTGCCATCAGTAGACACAGTAGAACCATAGATGCACGTCCTTATTCGCTGAGCTGAACACCCACCCACCATCTTTGTCAGCCTTCATCTTTGAAGGGCTGAGCTGTGCCATTTTGCAGCTCAACGACACTAAAATAGCACCTGAGGTATTTGAGTGAAGAAGGTAAAGCATTGCTTTTCTATTAAAGCGTGCCATGAGTAATAGTCCTTGCAATCTCTTGGGATGACGCACGACCTACTGTGCTATGTTTTCCTCTATTTTTCTTTCCTTCTCTTGCCTCTCAGTCTCTTCTCTAATTGCTATTTTCAGAGCAGGGAGCTTCACAGGTTTAGATATATTTGTGTGCCTGCGTGGGAGTGAGTGGGTTGCACTAATGTTGAAGACAAAAGTCCAGGGACCAAAGAGGACGACTGTCCTTTTAATACTGCCCATGATAAGTTTAAAGTGCTTTTCTTCTTTGGTTTGTTTAGTACTGAGTGCGCTGGCAGCAATTCTGGACTTTCCAAACACCACGTGATGGCAAAAACACACAAGTGGCATGGGACCACTACTGACTAACAGCTGTTAGTTGATAGTAGATATTCAGATTCTGGACTTTCAACAGTCTTCCTGATTTATTCATGGATGTCCTCGTTGAGCTTTTTTTACCCCGAAGCCTTAGTATTCACACTGAAAGCTACAGCAGCAAAATCTCCACTCTATTTATTTTATTTATTTATTTATTTATTTTATTTTCTCCCTTAGCCAGACACTTTTCTGCATTTTGCTTTCCCTGTACCAACAGAGAGTGGGGAAAAAATATCTGTTTTTAGATTTTGTGGAAAAAGATTAATTTCATGTGTGATCCTAAACTGAATTTAATTGCATAGATTAAGGCCTCATCACAGGCTTCCTTCCAGTTTTCCCAAAATAGAGTTACTAGTATTCTACAGAGGGCTGGATAGCTAGTCATGTTGTTATTTTGTTGCCTGTTACAAAGAACAAACACACTGCGTGGAGCAGGAAGGAAGAGCCAAGAGAAGAATTATCTAAGCAGCAACTAATCTGGACTCGATCTGACGGGTGTGCTATGAAGCAAGTTTATTTGCATTAACAGACTGGATGAGCAAAAGATTAAAACTATCAGCTTTCTCTTTGAACCTAGGTGTTCTTTATTTAACTCTTCTTCTTTCTTTTTTTCTTTTTTTTATCTCTTGCTTGAGTGCTGCCTGCTTCAAGACGAGCAGGTTATGGAGAGCTATGAAAAACACAAAGCACAGTCTTTTGGCACAGAGATAGAATTGCAGTCAAACAGTGTCTCGATATTACATATTTTCCCGCTATGCATTTAATTTCTAACATAAATGCTGCGCATTAAAGCTTTCACATTTTAACTTGATATATTTAAATATGATACCTAAAGAGGTTAATATGCTCCCATATTGAGGGATAAGTGGAAATCAATTCAGTTTTAGCCAAATCAAAGTGAATTTCATTTCAATCATTGAATATTCTGTGATGAATACCAATAGACCAATCAAATCTCCATTAGCTATGGAAGCAGTGTAAAACTGCACAAAGCATGAAAATGATTTAATCTGCACCATCAGCAGGAGAAGTGAAAGGGTTGCTAAAACTGTGACCAAATAGTTAAGCTGGATAGTGTTACGGTAAGACCACACACCTTTGGAGCGGAAGTAGCAAGTTCGATTCCCTTCCAGTATCCAGTAAAGGTCCTGGCTAGGCCCCCCCATGCCAAACACCAAGCCCTGGAATGGTGCGGCTACGCCTGCAGCCTGTCCACAGCTCAGACACGACACATTTCACTGCATGTTGTACTCTATGTGATCATGTATCTGACCAATAAAGCTTGTTTCTTTCTTAAATATTAACAAATGGTTGTGCCATATTGTAGTTTTCTATTTATAGTGCATTGTGCTTTTATGTAATTGAATTTAAAAGCAAGGGTTAGAAATTAGCAACAGCTATAAACTCATGCTTCTGTGAGTTTCGTGCGCCGTATTAGAACCATGTTAAACTCCATTTTTCTTTTTTAAGTAAGTTAAAATAGAAATCTTGATATTTTTGATGGTTTGATTCGATACTGACATTGATCGGCTAGAATAGGCTCCAACAACCGTGAACTCGATAAGTGGAAGAAGATTGATGGATGGAGTATTAGGGGTTTTTTTTTTTTGTTGTTGTTGTTGTTCTTTTAAGTGAAAATCATAATGGCTTTGACCCCTGCAATTGTGTTTTTGTTGTTCTTTTCCTGCATTATGGGTGGTCTCCAGCTGAATACTCTGCGGGGTTCCATCCTGGAAGATGCTGTACCTTCGACGTCCAAGCATGGTCTAGGTCGAGGCCTGCCCCTCAAAGAAGTGCTGGAGTACCTTGTGCCTGAGCTCAATGTTCACTGCTTACGCCTGGCACTCAACACACCCAAGGTCACTGAGCAGCTGATGAAGCTGGACGAGCAGGGGGTAAGGAGATGCAGCGAGCACGTCTTGAGGTTTGATTGTGGGTTATGATGGGCCGGATGAATCTGCTTGATTAATTCCTTTGAGCACATTTGATTACTGCTTTCCATTTAGTGAAAAGACAGTGTCATGCAGACATGGCATCCGCTGAATAGAGTGCGATCCTTTCGTGCATGCATTCGATCGGTCTTTGAGCCGAAGAACTTTTGCAGCTGGTAACCTGTACTATTGACTATGCAAAGCAAACGATTGTCATTTGGCATTTCATGAATTTTTTAGTGTGTGGGTGTTTTTCTGTGAAGTGGATGTATCATTGTTGAACTAAATTCTTTTTATTTATTTTTGCTGTATCTCTTTATTTACTCCCACAGACCGTTATGTGGAATTTAGACGAAAATGTTTATATGCATGCTGTGTCGACGTGTGTTGATGCATGCACACACAACATAACCCTTAAAAAAAAAAAATTATATATAGATATACTCAAAAGCTGATGCAGTTATCAGAAGCTGAATCCTCTGAAAATGTCAACATGATTTCTTAGGAAAATGGCACAAAATCACTACAGAACAACCCAAGGTTATTCTTAAAATGTCAACATGAGTCCTGCCTCAAATGTCAACATGGTTACTCTGACATGACTTCCACACAGTAATCTCCATTTGTTTCTCCCCTTTTCATTGGAATAATGTTTGTTCTCTCCGCAGCTGAGTTTTCAGCGAAAGGTGGGGGTGATGTACTGCATGGCGGGTCAGAGTAGCGAGGAGGAGATGTACAACAACGAAGCGGCTGGGCCTGCACTAGAGGAGTTCCTCCATCTGCTGGGCGAGAGGGTTCGTCTAAAAGGCTTCACCAAGTATCGAGCTCAGCTGGACACAAAGAGTATGTACATTTGCAAAAAACTGCAAAGTGCCAGTGAGGGTGTGAGGGAACCTTTATATTTGATCTTACGCTGACATTGATCCTGTCTAATCCAGCACAGCAGGTAGTAAATTAGTAAATTGGCACGCACGAAATAGACGTTCGCATTGATCAAAAAGTGCTGAGTTCAGTTGCCCAGCAAGTATTTGATGGATTGGAGCATGCAGGGGGTCGTCAGAGTCTTTTAGATTATGTGTATACACACATGGGTTCAGTGCCTCAACTTGATTGCGATAATCACATTAGATCTCATTCACATGTTAAAGGACTGGTCAGTGACCACCTGGCATCTTCTGATTGCTAGAGAAAAATGTATACTCTCTGACCAGTTGGGGAGTGGTTGCTGCACCAAAAACCTCATTTAGATTGCTTCGGTCACTAACAGATAGAAGATGGCAACTTGCCTCTGAGTGGTAGTAAAACTTGAAAAATGTGTGATCCAAACTGGAAACTGGAGAGGGGAAACAAAAAAGCACAACTTTAACTTTGGAGATGATCAGGCTTTGTTTCTGGTTGCACTTTTTTGACTACTGTTCAGAAAGTAGTTGACAAGCGTTTGCCCTTTGTGTAGCACCGCACACCTTTTCTCATCCAACTTGGCCTAGTGGCTGTGGGCAACTTCTTGTACCAACTTACCAACCAGTCAGGGAACAAACAATTTTATGTAGTGACGTGGGGTTGAGGGGTTATTGACTGGTCAACATCTCAATGATTAGGGTTTTAGCAAATTATTTTAGTTTGTCATCAATCTCCAGCAGATGCAAATACTCCAGACTGTGTTTTTTCAGGAGGAGAGCTGAGTAAAACTGAAGTCTGTCCAAATGTTTCTTACAGCCATAGATCGTGCAGTGATGGCTAAATAATAGATTTTCTTCTTTGAGTACTGCACTAGTACTAAATACATTGTTTCCTTATAAAATGTTTATTACACTTTTTATTAGGATGAAGGTATGTAATGTAAGAAGTGAAATTAATTGTTGAGGTTGTAAGTTATTATAGCATTTAACTTGATTTAATTTCCTTGCCTTTGGCACCTAAATTTCTTGCAGTTTTCAAAACATTTAATTATGAGCAGATGGAATACATGTTTTAAAAATTTCTGATCCTGTTTCCCCCCATTTTCAATTCCAGTCCCATTAAATCCCCCTCACTTCCTTGTCTTCGTTCACCGATTCTTAAGTTTCCTCAGATGTTTCTTCAGACATTTGACAGATGGCCTTTAGTTTCAGATTACTGTATTTTCTTTTGGACACTGATATTGATCCTCTGTGGTTGTGCCCTTCTCCTTTGCCAGACCACCTGTGTTTGTTCCAAACAGAATTGATGTCCACTTTATTTTTGCTACCTCTGTGACATTTCCAAGTCTGTGTATGATATTATGTTATCCATATTATCCCTGCATGAACTAAGCCATTGCCCAATACCCTGTGAGACAAAAACTGCCCCAATCAATTTTTGCAGGATGTGTAGCCTCTAGCAAATTAAATACAGCCATGCAACGCCCTCCTTAATGAATGCGTGTAATTAATTGAGGTAATGTAGCTGTTTAAGTACGGCCTTTAAATACCTTGTGACTGTTTGGCTCTCTAAATGGAAAACATCAACAGCCTAGTGAGGTAGTGCAGTGGCTCCCTGACTGTAAAGAGGTGAGCGTGTTCTAGGGCCATCTGAACAGCATATAGTAGAGACAAGCATGCGGGAAGAAAGTTTTAGGGTACTTGAACAAACCTGTCATGGTGTATTTTCCTGAAGTATGAGACATTTACGTGCAGTTTTCTCCTTCTCAGCTGACTCAACTGGCACCCACTCGTTGTATACTACTTACAAGGATTATGAGATCATGTTCCACGTATCCACCATGCTGCCATACACACCCAACAATAAGCAACAGGTATGTTAATTTACAGGGCTCAGAGCTTGGATACACTAAAATACCTTTGGATCCACCAGCAAGTTGTGACTTTTCATTAGAGAAAGTAGTAATCCATGCTATGCACATTTTTAGAGTTAACATGATCCTGTTCTTTGTGTATATAGATGTAGTCAAGGACGACATGCAGAGGTTTGGTAAGACAGGAGGATGCTAGAGGATGGTGTCAGATAGAGGCAGATAATTCACTGTGGCGACCCTTAAAGGCCGAAACAACAGTGGCTCAAGTGTTGTTGTTTTTTCCTCTAGATGTCTAATTAATTATGTTTTAACTTTAGCTTCTGTCTTTGAAAATGTTTTCCAGTTGCTGCGGAAGCGACATATTGGGAACGATATCGTCACGATTGTGTTCCAGGAACCCGGGGCGCTCCCCTTCACTCCTAAAAACATCCGCTCACACTTTCAGCACGTCTTTGTGATTGTGCGAGCGCATAACCCTTGCTCCGAAAACACCTCCTACAGGTGAGATTCAAGAGTACACCAGAATAAACTGCGTGTAAATAAAATGCTGCATACTACTTTTCAACCTGTGCCCCATTTGAAGCCTAAACAGTGCAAAAATAACCGGTTTGATGCTGTAATTTAGACTTGGTCAAGTCAAAGAGAATCAGTCTACTTGAACCTGGAGAGGTTACGTCCAGACTGGCATTATTCAAAGTAATACAGTGTCAAAATGTGATAGTTAAGGAAGGTGAGTTGAAAAACTACACACTGAACTAAAAAATAAGGGCTGTAGAGGTCAGTTGGAACATTCCCTTCTATGTCTTTTCATTACATTAGAGGTTATCTAAGGCCAGTGCTTTACCTGCCTTTTCAAAATGTCTGGAAAAATACTGCATTTGAGGACTTGCATGTGATTTATGATTCACTTTTCATCACAGCAAAAACAATAATGCTCTCATTCTTCTGCTCAGATTGTTGTACGGCTCTCGTTGCCTTTGCAGTTTCATCATGGAGTAGGCCGAGAGTGTTGAGAGCCCTCTCTACGACTCGCGATTTATTTCCCCGCTGTGAGAGGGTGTAATATTAAATACAATGTACAAGTCTGAAATAACTTTTAAGTAATTATTTATATTCTGCCTTTGCAGTCTTTCGTGTTCGGCGCTGTTCAGATTTGAAGGGCATTTCATTTAGCTCATTCCTGGCTCTGTCTTTTTATCTCGTTTTCTGTCATTCTCTCTTATCTTGCTCTCTAGGACTCTGCCTCCCTCTTCCACTAATGGCTGTTTTAATTGCTGTCAGAGCACATTGTGTGAGGACTTAATTGTCCCCCATGGGGCTACTTCACTACTAAACAACAGCACCACACATACACAAACACAAAGCAGCCAATAATGAATTGAATAGAAGAAGAGCAAGTACTATTGACATGTGCCTTATGCGACTCACAAACGCAAGTTAAGTTTTTTGAAGTGTAAAGGAGTTTTCTGCACACCATATAAAGGTGAAACATCAGCTTTCAAAAATAAATTATGATTCATAGTCACCACAGGAAATTGACTGAGTCATAAGATATTAAGCAAAGGTGACCTAAATGCTTTGAAGCTTTGGTTTGTTTTCTTAAGGTTTATGAAGACGGGGGCATACACACTTGGTATTGAACTACTTCACTGTTCTGTTCAATTTGTTATTTTGAAAGTGGGAAAATTCTGGGTTCACCTGGCCTTGCACCTGCTTTCAAGCATTTAGAGATCAAAACATAACTATTCTGCTCGCTCAATGTCTGCTCTTAGTGGAAGTGTAAAAAAACAATTTCTTTTGTTTGATATGAATAGAGCAAAGTACAATAAAATAGTGTGTAACCCCATTTAATGTAAACCAGGATGTGTTTTCTGTTCACTGCTCTAATGCTGCTAGTATCTTGTACAGTTAAATGTAATTGCGTGTTAATACAAAATAGGCTACTCTCAAATAATGATATTTTGATGGCTGCAACCCAAACTGAGTTTGTTATAAGACCTAGTGTATGAGCTAAAGGCATTAGAGTGCTGCCGAAAGCGATACTGTACGCGTAACTGAAAACTGATGGAGGATTTCCTTTAAAGGATTCTACTGGCATTTTCACTGTAATCAAGAAATTAGGTAATTTGAGTTCACTCTGTGAAAAAAAATAATGCAGAAATCTACAGATGTCTTCAAGGCTGAAAGCCTCTGTAAAATACAGCTGCAGAGAAATGATGCGTCCTCACTGGAGAAGTGCGATACGTAAGTGCTCGAGTAACAGTTTATTTTAAAGGTGTGAAAAATGGTCTCTTTCCTACATGGCTTAAGGTCAAGTGGGCACAAGTGTATTTACAGTACAGTGCAAAAATCTTGAATCACCCCTCGTTTTTTTTAAATATCTTGCTTCTAAGGAATAAGACTTAAGGCACATAACTGATGGGGCTTGACCAGTATTAAGTGTGCACATAACAGAAATCCTGATACTTGTTTTCACACCACAGTTTGAACGTGATCTGACGTTGCGAGTTTGAGCTAAAAACTTCCTGTAGCCACGTATGCTTTGCATTCTGGGATGCGGTAAGTTACTATAGATGTGTAACGGTCAGCATGGATGGGTGACTGCTCGTGCTCACCAATAGTCCAGAACAAAACACCTTCTTACTGTATTTACTTTTGTTGCTCCCGCCCCAGACACATCTGGCCAATGAGCGGACTGAATGTTTGTAACGGCGCATTTTGATTCACCCTTTGAAGAAGGCACAGTTTCTCAAGTGCATCATCTTCTCCTGATAGATGTTGCACGCTCACTGAGGCTGTTGACATTCATGCCCCAGCTGGAGCCATGAGGCTGGCCGCCGTCAGATAGTTTCCTCTCGTCTTTAGGTGGTGGTCCGTAGTTGTGTTTTGATCGACACAATAAAATGATTCATTCCACAACTCGCAGCTGTTGTTATCATCCTCACAGTCGAGCGTAAACTTTGATATGTCACACATGCAGGAGCTGCCTGAATGGCTCTTCGATATGTCTCAGCACTCCATTTGGAAACTACTAGTGCGGTTACTTATTTCCTCTTCAATGGTAAATTCATCTGCACCTTAACAATATTGTTCTTGCGTCAGCATAATGTTGCCATCCTGGACTGTTGGAAATTGCAGCTGACCAATCACATTGTGATGTAATGGCTTTGGAATGCGAAAAAAAAAGGTTTTCATAAAACGCATAAAACGGTTAGAATTTCTCAAAAAGGTTTTATCCCCACAAATTTGAATTCTTGTAAACTCTTTGCATGGCTCTTAGCTAAAAAGTCACTACATAAACAAAACCTCAAAACTTTTAGATAACAAAAATAGTCCTTGCTTTGAATATTAGTTGCCTAAAGTAGACAAAAACATAATGTATACCTTCCCCATATCCGCACTCTCACAATCTCGCACTCCATCAGGTATTGACATGTTCTTTTTCTTGGCCTGGCTCAGTGGGCAGCAGGTCATAGATACTGGAAGAGCAGAACTGCCCACACATTGGATATTTATAAGACCACAAATCAGCGAAAGCCACAGGAATGTGCTCTTTCATTTCTTTTACCAAACCTCCTGCCATAGGGATCACATAGCAGCCTCACAGTGCAGCAATTCCCCAACACTCCTTTTCCTCTCTGTCTTCCTCACTTGCTTTTCTCGTTCCTTATCCTT